TGGATCATAACATGGAAACGGTTCAAATCTTTATGCTACATTTGTATCTAGAGAAGTACACGTTCATGCTGTCAGATTTGCCATCCACCCCTTTCTAATGCTGACAGAGTCAAAATTATGAAATATTTGCAGTATTATGTACATGTACAATGCAAATGTATATTTTGTCATGATTGCGTAAATATCCAGGCGAATAATACAGGCCCTATGGGCCTCTTGTCTTAAACTATTGGTGAATCTCTCATTTATTTTGTTGATGTTGGCTTTTTATTGACATAATTCCTATTAATTAGGCATGTTGTTATGTTTGTGCGCTTGGTTCACCTCTGTGTCCAGTAAAGTGTTACACTTATGCGCTGTTTACATTTCTTTTGCAGATTGTATTCTATACATTGTTCTTTATGTCAAAGACCCAAGTCAGGGAAAGACCCACTTCAGCTTTTCCCCTACTGCAAGCCTGCGTGTTCATTTGAACATCACCGCTCTCATGTCAATTACAGACTAATTCTTACAGAAAGGCTCTTCTTCGTCGCCAGAAACCACTTGCTGTTAGGAAGAAGATGCCTGGTACTTCGCCGCCACCAACTTCTCCCTCTCCGCCGTATCTGGTCCCTCCGCCTTCGGATCCACCTGCTCCTCCCCAATCTGTGCCATCAGCGCTGCTTAATTTTTTTTAATCCTACTGCCATTTGAACCTTTTGGGAGCAACTCCTTCAACATCGTCCAGATGACCTGCTCTTGGACCGTCGCCAGCGCTCGCCGGATCCTCGCCAGTGCTCATCGTCCAGTCGCCAGCTCCATCGGTCGCTGTCCAGTCGCCATACTGCTCCTTCGCCTTGTACTGTTCCTCGCCGACCATTGCCTACTCAGCGTGCTTCGTCATCTGGCTTCACCTCTCCGCCCTTTGGGTGATGAGCAACATTTTGTACTGGACTATAACGAAGCGTCTTCGACAAAGTCTCTAACTCCTGCGGATATGCCTCCTTAGCTTGTCTATCATCTCCCTTGTGCAAGGTGCCTCCCCCAGGTGGAACACCAAGTTTCGGAGTCCGGAGAAGTTCTCCTCCCACAAGACCAGTTGGTCGCTGATGTGGCCAGATCGGTAGACACTACTTTTACGACACTGCCTGTTCAGTCGTCTATTCAAGTCCCGAGATTCCAGAAGGAGCATTACCCTTTGACTCTTTGGACTTTGCCAACGTCTACCCTCCTGTTGATGAAGACGTTCGGTCCCAGAACCTTGATGACCGATTCACAACTTGGTAGGATGGATGCAGCTCTTCTTCACTCTCTTTATCCACTGTCGGCGGTGGCTTCCACCAAGAATCCCTTTGAGGCCTTTGTGCCTTGGACTGGCACCAGCATCTCCTTCGGAGATGTTGGTTCTAATGATGTCCTGGTGCTTGCCCTGTCTAGTTCGGACTCTCCGACATTATCTTCAGGCGTCTCAGTAGCATCGTAAGCAGCACCAGAGGCTGTTCATTCCTCTTTTCAGCTGTGTCTCTGCAGAGATCTCTTGTAATACAGTCTTCCATTTGGCTTCGTTCTGCTATCCTGAGGGCTTATCATCATGCTGACTTACCACAACAAACAGCCTCCATACCACATGAGATCCGTGCGCTGTCTTCTTCGCTGGCCTTCCATGCTAACGTCTCCGTCCGGTCCATAATGGAGGAGTGCTTCTGGTCATCTACTTCTGTCTTCGCCAGCCATTATCTTCGCAACATTTCTGTGGATGTCATCGAGGGTACGCATAGCATTGGTCCACTTGTCCTGGCCCAGCAGCTGACCAACCCCCCGACATGGTTTTCTGTGCCGTTTCCCAGGAATATGGCCGTGTTTGGCCCCACTGGCACCTGTTGCCAAGGTAGGACCATCCCTTGTGCTGTTCCTCTTGGGTTGCTTGACACTGTTCTGTTGGAATCTAGTAAAGTTTTGGTCCCGTTTTTGCCCCTCTTTTGAGCCAGATACAGAATATCTTGCTTTTACCCTTTGTCAAGCAATGTTCTCTCTACCTTCAGAACACCATTCTGTTCCGAGAGGGCTTGACCTGCATCTTATCCCCTTGCCTGCCGTTCCAGGAGCCGCTACCTTGCTGTCGCCTGCTGGGTTTCCTGCCCAAAGGTTTTGTTGTGCTTCTGCAGCGAGCCTGGTGATTCACACAGTAAGCCCGCCTTCCATGTCAGTCGAATAAAGCACTGGTAGTGTCAGGTAAGGTAAAACATGAGCATTTCTGATTAAATGCAATGTTTTGTACTTACCTGACGCTACATCTATAGGCCCACCAGGACTTGTCCCCCTCCGCCTTACCGTTGGCGCCACTGTGTACTCTACGTCTGATGTCATACAGTGAAGAATATGAGTATAACTTGTTGATGCTGAGGCACGGGCTGTAGTCTGTTTCAACTGTCTCTTCGTTCTAGTACTGTCTGTTTGTAAAAGGTAGGGAAGCTAAAGCACTATGTAGCTTCAGGTAAGTATAAAAACATTGCATTTAATCAGAAATGCTCGTTTTTGTTCTTTTTATTTTGTTTTGTTTTCATGATTTTACATGATGAAAACAAGTTGTTTTCCATTTCCTGAGCAGAACTTAACGAGTAAGTGTTATACTGCTTTGAGATATATTTATTCGACAACACAAATGATGGAGATCTGGAACAAAACAGGAAACATAACTTAATGCAACACGTGATTGTATAATGTATTATAAAATGTACATAATCCTCTAAGAACTCCAAAACCGTTTAATATTTCTTGTTGAAACTTTCTGTGTAGATCAGTTGAGTTGGGAACTGGTGCCTTTGTTGATTTCGGATTTTAAGTCCTTTTTGGTTTTTTTGGTTTTCGTGATTTTACATGGTGATTTCCGATGGTGATTTCCGTTTGGGATTTTTATTTGTTTTATTTGTTTTTTTATTCATGATTTTACATGATGAAAACAAGCTGTTTTCCGTTTCCTGAGCAGAACTCCCAAACCGTTACCAGTAACAGTTTTGGTTTTGGTAAATATTTCTTGTTGAAACTTTCTGTGTAGATCAGTCGAGTTGGGAACTACTGCCTTTGATGATTTGGGATTTTTATTCTTTTTATTTTGTTTTCATGATTTTACATGATAAAATACTATGTATCCCTCCTTGGAAGGAAATAAATTTCTCAGCCGGAGAATAAATCCCTTGGAAGCAAAAACAAGCACACTTTCTCAGGGTCAATAATGTTCACCTTAGCTCAATCGAACAGCTGTTTTCTATGAATTTTCAATTTGTTTTAATTCTTTTACAATGGCAGATTGAAACATGTCGGTTAGATTATATTCCTTGTAGCAGGATCAGGAGGGGTACATGGGGTTTATGCGTAGGCGAGTGGTATAAAACCTAACAAGGCAGGAAACAGAGTATTTTATCAGGTTTCATATCTAGAGCCTCCTAACAAGAGACATATAAAACTCATGTAGCCTGAGTGATACTGCTACAACAAACTTACTTATCCCTACAAGTCATTCAATTCCATACAGAACCAAAAACAGTGTAGAATTAATTTGTTTTATTTGCCAATCCCAGCTTCCTTCATGGGTGAAACACAATGTATTTGCCATATATAGCACCACAATACAGAAATGGTATATACATAATATAATCACATTGCACAAGTATTGCATGTTTACCTGTCGCTTTGCAGTCAGGCTGGAGAAATCAACTTCTAATCATGCTTGTAGCAAAATTAATTCTTTCACACTCAAAACATTTCATAAGGTCCATCCACTCTCTTCGTTGTATCATCAGCTTCCGTATCACACTGGCTGGCAAGCATCAAAGTGCAGTATCTGCAGAATTGCTCAAATAGGCTAATGATTCTTTGTACAGGAAAACAGATGGTGTTGAAAAATCTTTACCATTCTGTGTTTTACAAATTATTGTAATTAAACAATGAAATAAGCAGTACATACCTGTACAAATGAATAATGTAGATATGCACTGAATCAGCCAGCATGCATTAACCGAAATACTTCAGATATCTAATACACGTCCAACACTGTTCAAGACGCGTTTGGCAGTAATCGGTCAGAAATACTGTTTTGTTTTAAGTGAAATAATAGAAACCACATTTGAACACTGAAATGTTACACCTTGATCTCTAGAGCTTTTATAAGGGGGTGTAAGCAAGGCACATGAAGAATCAATGGAGGCCCTCATCAGTTAAGTAGATGACGTGAAACACCAAGCATCCATCCCAAGGGGAAACTGATGATCATGTACATTCAATGTGAATCTCACCCCTGAGGATCCGGGGTAGACTAGGTCTTCAGCAACCCATGTTAGTCGTAAGAGGCGACTTATGGGATCGGGATCGGGATCGGGCTTGCTGACTTGGTTGATACGATGTCATCTTATCCCAATTTTGTAGATTGATGCTCATGATGTCAATCACTGGATTGTCTGGACCAGAACCAATATTTACAGGCCACCGCCAAATAACTGGAATATTGCTGAGTGCAACAAACAAAACATCAATGTGAATCTTGTGATTTTCAGAGAAACAGTATTGATTACTGATAAAACGATCTAGTGCTGCCTATTGTGTCCTTCCTTGTCACTCATCATTCAGAGACACATAAACCTGAGAACACCTTCTCCATGGCTATATGATTCCTAACCATGGAACGTATGGCTAAAGTATACAGTCAACTCGCTTTATTGGCCATAACACTAGTATAAATAATGCTCTCATAAAATCCTTCTGATTTGTTCTCAACTGATTTTGCATTTATTTATATTTATTTTTGCACCCTTAATTAAGTCTCCAATAAGGACAGTGTGTGTTCTGGAATACCGGTATGACATTAAATTCCAAGTTGACTCGAATTCATAGATGTTCTGACCCTTGAAGATCCGGGGCAGAATAGGTCTCAGCAACCCATGCTTGCCGTAAGAGGCGACTAACGGGATCGGGTGGTCAGGCTCGCTGACTTGGTTGATGCATGTCATCGGTCCCAAATGCGTGGATCGATGTTAATGATATCAAACACTGGACTGTCTGGTCCAGACTCGATTATTTCTGGACCGCCGACATATAGCTGGAATATTGCTGAGTGTGGCGTTAAACAACAACAAAAAGAAAAAAAAAGAATTGTGGTGTCTCTGAAACAGCTCACAGAAGTAGTTTTGACCCCCAACCTGGCTACTTCTGCACATATCAATGTGATATTTAATGGACATGCAGTGAGGTATGAAGAAGCTTCTGTTCTTTCACATGATATATGAGCTTTCAGACAAAATTTCCACTAAATTTGATAATACAATCTTAATCAACAAGCAGTGCCCTAATTCGTGCTTTACTTGAAGCCAGATACAGGACAAACTAAGAACAAGTGACGTGCTAGAAGTACAAGCACAAAGTCATGAGGCCGTAGTCATGCCCAATATTTCCCCATCTGCCTGGCTGAGGAACAAGAGGAAGGCCTGTTCAAATTTTATAAGATGCAAGACCATCCATAAATATGATAAATAAATGTTAATGGGTTGTTGAAGGCAGACTACATAATCAGAACAGCTCACCGATCAGTGTACCTTGTCCATAAATAACTACATCAAGACATTTAGAGTTAAAATCAACACAGCAAACATATAGGAATAAACATGATTCCAGTGGATAAAATACACAACACTTTCATAATCACATTCATGCCTTGATATAACATTCATTAAGTGGTGATGTGACTGATTGAAATACACCATTCCAAAAACATCTATTCCCTAGTCAATTGTGTAAAATTGTAAAACCCTTCTTTGACAGCACAATGAATCACTGTTCAGTCTAATCGAGTCACAATATGTACCAGAAAAAGGTGGGATGTTAACAACAGACATTTCACAGCTCAAGCGACATACAGACATGGATCTTCATTAAAAAATGTTGTAACTGTCCAAATGCACCAAATGTGCCCCGTGTCCAGCCAGCTCCTGCACCTGACACAGGGTAAGATGGGTCACCATGTCATTATGTAGCCTACTAATAACAGCGTTCATGAGAGCTATACTACACAATGTTTCAGCAGTGACAAAAACAATAAATGGATTGTAAATCTGTAAATGAAGCCTTGCATGATTGGTCAGTAGGCAACTGTGGACTTGAGTATATACTATTACTGGAACTTATCAAGACCACTTCATATATTCTCAGCATGTCCAACACACTGACTCCAATATTTATTGCTATGTATGTGTGAATCTCAGGAATATCCCAGTCCTATGAGGGTATGTACAAAACCCACTGTGTCTTATATCTAAAGGTGGAAGATCAGTTTACCATTTCCTTTTGTCTATTGATGTTTGTTTGGAGTGAAATATTTCTTTTTTTACACTCCTTATTTTCTTACATATATTGCTACAGTGTAGGGCATACATATATGGGAAAGTTTTCCCATATCAAATAGAATGGAGACAAACTTGGAAACCTTATCTTATCAAGAAGGACTAACAATTGCCCACTGTTGACTATGTGCTATGTTTGACAGGATTGTAGACTTCTCCTGTGTGATTAGACCAACATCTCAGTAAACACATTATCCAGTTAGTGTTTTGCAAATCAAGATCAAATAATACATTTCATGGTCATTTTCTGCCTTATACAGACTGACATATTCTGACCACCCTCATACACCTTGTACAGACTGACATCTTCTGACCACCCTAATACACCTTGTACAGACTGACATCTTCTGGACACCCTCATACACCTTGTACAGACTGACATCTTCTGACCACCCTCATACACCTTGTACAGACTGACATCTTCTGACCACCCTCATACCCCTTGTACAGACTGACATCTTCTGACCACCCTCATACCCCTTGTACAGACTGACATCTTCTGACCACCCTCATACCCCTTGTACAGACTGACATCTTCTGACCACCCTCATACACCTTGTACAGACTGACATCTTCTGGACACCCTCATACACCTTGTACAGACTGACATCTTCTGACCACCCTCATACCCCTTGTACAGACTGACATCTTCTGACCACCCTCATACACCTTGTACAGACTGACATCTTCTGGACACCCTCATACACCTTGTACAGACTGACATCTTCTGACCACCCTCATACACCTTGTACAGACTGACATCTTCTGACCACCCTCATACACCTTGTACAGACTGACATCTTCTGACCACCCTCATACCCCTTATACAGACTGACATCTTCTGGACACCCTCATACACCTTGTACAGACTGACATCTTCTGACCACCCTCATACACCTTGTACAGACTGACATCTTCTGACCACCCTCATACACCTTGTACAGACTGACATCTTCTGACCACCCTCATACACCTTGTACAGACTGACATCTTCTGACCATCCTCATACACCTTGTACAGACTGACATCTTCTGGCCACCCTCAAACACCCTCATACACCTTGTACAGACTGACATCTTCTGGCCACCCTCAAACACCCTCATACACCTTGTACAGACTGACATCTTCTGACCACCCTCATACACTGTTCAGACTACCATGAACATATCCTTCATTAGTTGCAAAACATATTCAACTTTATCATGTTTACTGACCATATTACGACCCCCCAACCATCGCCAAAAATCTTAGAAAATGGGTCTACCTTTATGAAAATCTTCTCCTGAGTGCTAAGGTTGATCCCCAAACTGATCTTCATCATGTTCATGTATGGTAATTTATTGGTCAACATTCGTTGTAAGACGTTAAGTATTAGGTTATATTACACAAAGTAATGCCTGCATTCAATCATTAATTTGGCTGCAACTTTGAAAGAACTGAGTAGAACTCAGAAATAAGTGTAGTATGAGTACTGAAGTGACCCAATAAGTACACAGGGCATAAGACTTGGCATAAAACTTGGCATGGAAACAATGAATAATGAAGGCCCTGGTGCTATATATATCCGTCTCATAATTACCAAGATCTTGCCATATTTGTGAAGTAATGCCACTGTTTGTAATATGAATGAGGGACAGGGTGCTTGTTACATTATGTCCGGTCAACAGATGTACATAGAAGAGTTGAAGCAATGATCTAACTCGGAACAACCATACACATTTAAGAAAAGAAGCTCTGAAGACAGATGAGCGTGTTGTTTATCTGTCTTCCCCGATGATGTGATGTTAATGTACAAAGATGCTGGTGTTAACCTTCAGGTCCACCTTACTGGGATCAATTTCCCAGTCCAGGGAGTCGAAGTAGAGGTGGTACACCATGTCCGGGACTGGTCGATTCCGCGACAGTCGTTGAAGCATCTGTAATTGACAACATCATATTCAATACCAATTGTACTTCAAATGAATCCCATAACATTTAATTATTTCACATCATGTAGAAGAGAAAGTAAATGATTTTTTTTACAGCTGAGAGTTAATCTTTCATCCAAATAGATTATACTGTTAATACTCAGCAGCTTTTGTAATCACACAATCCAAAACCTTTTTCCTTGCAAATGTTTTTTTCTTTGAAGACCTGTCCATCAGCATAAGGTGTTTTAAGATTACTATTGCTTGATGCAGATATACCATGTGTACAGTAATCAAACGATAGCTACCTCATAATCCTGTATTATTGCTGATTTTTATTGTGTGATGACAGCCGAATTACAGCATTATGGCAATGACGTACTAGAGTTAGGGTATTCGCAGGAGTTACACATTTACAAGCTGGGCAAGTTAGTTCATCGCGGTAAATGACCACCTGTTCATTCAGTGAAATCACACCAATATAGTTTAAAAGAAAATGAAAAACATACTATTCCAACATGCTCAAAAAGAATTTCTTTTAAATTATTGCTTCATCTTGTTCATTTGTATACATGTGATCATGATGTGCACTGGTTGTTTTCATGGTTTCAGGATGCTCCTTCACATCATACAATGTATCTATTCCACATTCATGACATGACCAGACAACTCCTAGTACCCGATCTACACAGAGCAGTCGTACAATCTCTGCCTCATGGTTGGGTGCACAGGGACCGGAGACATTCTAGAATCCTAAAACTTTAGCAGAGTGAATTATAACTGTAGTGTAGGTCAGTTGGGTCCACTAAACATTTTCTGAATGTTCAAACCCTGGTCATTTTGACATTTTAAAAGTCCTATACATCAGGATTTTAACAGAAGCAAATTATTTCCTTCCATGTGCATACAAACTAAATGTACAAAAATAATATGAACAGCAAGCATGGCAAGTTCAGATGGTCCATCTGATTTTCTTCAATCACTCAGTTTAATTTAAAACTATTACAAACATTATTTGAAGGGTCCCAAGCATGCACAAGTAGAATATGTTCTGAGTATGAGCACATGAAGATAGCAATGCTGTGACAGTAGATTACCTGGTACGACTGCCAGGCCATGTTAGCTTGTACTAAAAAGAGGCCTATGAAAAGGCTGAAGCTAAAGATGGCAAGAAATTGGAAAAGTCCATCATTAAACCTGGAAATGAAAATGGAAAATGAGTGTTAAAAATCATTAAATAGTTAACATAGCAGCGGGTCTAAGAAGTAAATTAAACATATTTATTTTTATTGTCTCCCACTAGTAATATAGACTCTCTTATACAATACAAAAATGTTCCATATAAATTGCATGTCTACATCACTTTCAGTGATTCAAGAAGGCAGCTGTAGTTTTAACTCCATGGCGCTATGACTTTCATATTATAAATATATGATTAACATAGCTATTTGTGTTCATTTGTATTTTGGCCAACGACCTTTATGGAAAAGCTGGAATAAATCTGTGAGACATAAAATTATAAAGGTGTGGCTGTACCAGGTGCAAAGCTAAAGTAAAGACAGTACAAGTAAATCATGCAATGCAAGAAATCAGCTAGCTAGCCTTGGCTTGTGGATTAGGTTTCTTCAGAGGATTATTGTGTGTTATGCATTATAAATGACCTGTTTTTTGCTGAGATTACAACATGGAAAGATCTTATTAGACTAAGGCTTCAGACAAGTCACGTCACTATATGGCTGAAATATTGCCGATGTGACGTTAAATATTAACTCACTCACTCACTCAGACAAGTCACAAGTAAGTAACTTGTCAAACACCATGTGCAAATTTAGCAGTTGTCAAGCTGAAGCAATGAATCTACATATTGTTTGTACTTGCTTATTGATATCGATGAGAGATCAACAAGGACAATCGGAGCACCTTTAGATTACAGTACCACAACTTCTCGTGAGGACAATCTCTGCCATAGATCACATGTCTCAAAGACAAGCAACCAGTTTTTGTGATAATTTCGTCAGACGCGAACTCGTGACTTTCTGATTGTTAGCCCGACAGATAACCGACTGTGTACGTCCACACTGTGAAACTTATTGCAAATTTACCTAGCCATGCCTACGACGTTACGGAACTGAACGAAGAGGGTTGAAAAGGTGATAGACACTTACGAAGGTTACGGGTAGGCATGGTGTCGAGGGATCCCGATGGCACACTCGTCAAATTCCAAAATCTACAAGTTACTGAGACGTGAGGAATTAGCAGATATAGCGCAAACTAAAAATGGCTCTAGACATTGAACTCGAGGGTACACATGAATGACATGGTATTTAATATTTCATCGGGTGATTTTTTTGACAGAAAAGTGTGGTTGGGAACAGTGTAAGGCTAATGTGGATCTTAATAAGGAACGAGGGAGGCATAAGCATGGCTTATGACGCCACAAGGATGAGTCAATGTGGCGATGAATCAATGAAAGTGTCAAAGTGACTTGAGTGAATGTTCAAGGACAGTTTGCAATTGCCAAAATATCTGACACTAAACCATTTCGCCCTGCTTTCTCGACGTTTTTGTGTGAAGAATATTAGGAGCAGCTATAGAATCTATAATGGTGACTAAACGGATACCTATCCCTAATGATAGTAAAGCTAGGGTTGATGAATCATAAAGGTGATGCAAGAGCTAAGGATAGAGTTCGGGGTAACCTACCCTAACACAGGCGACAAAATAATATACCTAACAAACTGCATTCCTGTGCATAATGATGAAAATTAATTAATCGAAAAATTAATCTATGTATTATCAGTGATTATAGTTCTCATTTATAATCATTTCAGCGACCTCAATTAAGAAAATGACAACAACAAAAATACATTGCAATAAAAATGCTTTTATAAGCCAGCTCTTGATATAAAATGTGCCTCCGCAGGCAATATTTAGCAAACAAATATTCAAAACTCTCAACATCGCTGGGCTTATTCAATGACACTACGTGTAGAAATGATAGATCACTGAGAGGAGCTTATGCACACTTTATGACCCGACATCACAAGGGATTCTTTTGCTGGTGAGACTGCCTACCAATTGCGTCACAGTTTGAAAAGTTTGTGGTAGTGTATGCTAACAGTAGTTGTGACTGGATACAAATTACTTCATAGGGTATTGTGCTGTGTTTGAAGTTTGTAGTACTGTATTCTAAAGGTAGGCCAGACAATCAATATGAGCTTAAATGTGAATCAATGCCAAATTAAGTGTATCAGGTATTGTACTATGCAAACTTAGGACATCACATGATGTATTTTGTCAGGAATCACAAAATGGGCTTGATCCTGTTCACAGCTCCATTGTTGTCAATGCCTAGTGATTTCAGAAAGTTGCTTTGCTTTCAACGTAAGCATGATCATGTTGATGATGGTTGATTGAGATGGAATTATGGGTTTTGGTTTGTTCGCCCATTTCTTTCACTTTCCCGCCTTGACCTGTCACCTGTCAGAATTGGTGGGTAAGTTGATCATGTGCCTTGATCACACCCCAAAACGCCCAAACACTGGACCCACTATCACAAATCAATCATAGCGCTAAAACTATTGTCAGCCTATGTTAAATTATAGCAGTTAAGATGGAACAGATTGACATTAATATACCTATAATAATATATGATCCATAATTATCCGTCAGGATACTAGCATCTTAGACTATCAGCATTGTACATCCCAGTAAGCCGTCAGCCTGTACAGACATCTCTTAGTATATCAGTAAACAGTGATTAACCAAACCCAGCGTTTGTTATGCAGTTCTCAGCTGATACGACAACCTGAGAATATTACATGGTGGCAGCGAGTGAGAAACGTATCTCGCCGACTTTAGAACTGTGAATTGTGAATATTTACCGCTGAAACAACGTTGGAAGAGATGTGGATACATCGAACAGTTTGGACACTGAACAGAGAAAAAACACGAAAAATCATCTGTGAAATTTGGCTTCGTCACCCTGTGTGTTTGATCATTTAGGATAAGTGATGGTGCTGAAATTGCAGAATTTTCATCGTTTGGAAAAACAGACAAAATCAGGGGACTCACAACTGAGACGTTGGGCTGACAGGCGAACTGAATAGATAGATCTATCAAATATCATATATCAGTGAGTGCTCCGAAATTGTGCACGAGAGTGAAATATTATATTCTTAGGCATTCATAAGGATATTCATGGATTGGAATAACACTGTATCGCAGTAAGTAAGAGTGAGTGAGTTAATATTTAATGTCACATCGGCAGTATTTCAGCCATATCGTGACGAGGAGCAGTAAGTAAGAAATGTATGTACTCTGAACATGAACTGTCGTCTGTAACGACGCACCACCATTTTGAAGAATCTGTCATCGGAACTGTAATCAAAATCATTCGATCTACCGGTGCATGTGAACACTTTCATAAAAAATATCATCGTTCACTAGAACTGGATTATTGTCAGGATATCGGTCAGGATACTAGCATCTTAGACTATCAGCATTGTACATCTATATGCATGTGCGGCGTGAGTCCCAGTAAGCCGTCAGCTTGTACAGACAATTCTTAGTATTTCAGTAAACAGTGATTAACCAAACCCAGCGTTCGTTATGCAGTTCTCAGCTGATACGACAACCTGAGAATATTACAGTCTTAGTGTTGAGGTTGCTTTGTGCAAGCAGTCCAAATGATTTTTTATCTGACCACAGGACGTGTGAGTTTGTTTGTTATTATTAGTTATGTTGTTAGTGAGGAAACACCGATCCTTACAATCTTGTTCATTATTTATTTTTCATGAAAGAAAACTAAATAAAGGGAACGAGATTTAGAAGAGTGTATGGTTCATCAATGATTAAAAAACTCAACAACTGACTGTGTTCACATCCCTAGCAGCTAGATAAAATGATGACAAAAATAATCAATCTTACGGTGGAATACGGATGATTCCAAACTTGTGTCCTTCACCAACTGAAGTGTGCAATACCCAGTCTTTCACATCGTCAACATCTGGGTCATCGCCAGAAGGCATCATGACTATGTCTACTATAAAACCGAAGATCAGAGATGATCCGTGTAGCCTCAATGAATATTATCATGCCAATGCATTTGAAATTAAGGGCCTTTCTTGCCTGCTGAGGGAAAACCCTGCAGAAATGCAGAAAATGTCTTCGCTCGCAAACCGGAAGTTACATTTTTAGTGTTGGAGGTAAGAATGCTTGTACCGATTAAAAACAGCGATCGAAAGATGAAATCGGATCCGGTATTTATTTCAATAATGTAAAAAAGGGATAGTTTTAACTTACGAATGAGATAGTTCAAATCAAAGCAGCTGGGGTTATTGTTGATCGATTTGGAAAAGGCTTGTCATAAACATAAATTAACAACCAAATGTGGCCGATGTAGTTTTTTTTGTATATATTTGTTTTAATTTCATTTTAGGTTTACATATATTTATTATATATAACTAGTTGTCAGTTTCCGTCAGCTATAACAAAACGTATTTGACCTATTTTACCTACTAACTGCCCCATGGCCAGAAGCTTCATTTGCTGATTGGCAAAGCTAACACCTATTGTTCAATTGCATGCTTTGATTTCACTGCATACTCTCTCAGCACATGAACTGACAGAACTGCTCAGACCAGCAAAGCATAAAGAGATAATATTAAATCAGGTGAGTTAAATGGTTACAATCTCTATCTTGTGTTGTATTGAAATAATACAGTATGTTTAAAGTGTTATATTAAGTAAACTAGATGGATGTAATCTAATATAAATGTTGATTACGTCTAATTATTTAAATCTGCATAAGATAAGCTAAACAACCATACTTTATCACTAAAATATATTCCATCACTTCAATTAAATATGTGTGAAAGTGTGTTACTTCAAGAGTTTTAAAAAGCTTTGTAATGTACAAATTCAGAGGCGATACATGCAAATCATTGTAAATAAACTGTGTGTCTTATCCTGTTCAATATATTTAATGTTAAATAGTGTTTATGTTTATGTTTAGTTTAGTTCATCTATGGTGTTGCCATAAGTGTGGCAGTTGGGATACACACCCTTGTATCACCCACAGGGTATGCATTGTATTATTTATATTTGTCTAACACTTAAGATGTAATCTAATTGTGAAGACCACATTTAATGTAAGATCATAATATCATTAATTTCTGTCTTAAAGTATTGTATTTGTTTATACAGAATGTGTACGCGTTATTGTGTATATATTATAGTCAAATAAAGTCAAGGAGTTATCTCCCTTGTATGTAGGTATTGTGTTGCATGTCTATTACTGCATATGTTCTATTATAATCGTTTAGCGGACAGTCGATCTAGTGGTCTAATGGATGACTGATATGTGTAATACTTACTTGTAATAAGCCTATGCTATGTATCTAGCATTAATGATAGTGTTTTCCTTATTATTTATTATGTAATTATGTGTTTCAGGGTGTCTGATATCTTAGATCCTTGATCTTTGGCATCTGCAATAAAGACCTCAACCCTGTAGTATGTGTTTGTTGATTCGTAAGAAGACATGCACTAAACAGCTACACAAATATAATGTTTAACATGATATAAAATTGACAAACTTAACAACCACACTGAAGAAAGCACCAAAATAATTTAATTTGAAAATCTTACTTAAATATATAGCTAAGCCTTATATAAAATTACTTAATATATAACTACTTTATTTCAGAACACCAACTTATTCCTAGATCCAATTTTACTCGACCAACAATCTGCATTTGCATAGTCCTCATATGTACTTAGCTACGAAAGAAACGCGAATACCATACATGTTGGTTAATCTTTTAAGATTTACCTATATGAAAGAGATATTACATTATTTCGATGCACAAACGAACACTGTTATGTTGTCTGAACCGACGCTCATGAACGCATCATATGTGACGTCATAGATTCATGACTCGAGCTGCACCATTTGCCCCGTGCAGGATTAGCGTGTAAAATTTGGAAATCACGTGCAGCATGTTTGATAAGAATAAAGACACTCCGTAGTAACACTTGACTGATTGTTAGTTGTGTCATTAAATGGTACACTTTGGAAACATCTCTTCATAACGTACATACTTCTGTTTCTAGCGTTCGCCCTTCTTTTGGCGGTGAGTATTTGGCTGTTCCTCTTTTGTTTGTTGTTTAACGCCACACTCAGCAATATTCCAGCTATATGATGGCGGTCTGTAAATAATCGAGTCTGGACCAGTGATTGACATTATGAGCATCGCTCCAGGCAATTGGGATACGATGACATGCACCAAGTAAGCGAGCCTGACCACACCCGGTCCCATTAGTCGCCTCTTACGACAAACGTAGTCGCTTTTTACGGCAGGCATGGGTTGCTGAAGACCTATAATGTGGTGAGCTATGTTGGTTGCTTCCTAAGTGTCATCATGGATCATCCATTGGCAATGTCAGGCTATCCGTAAAGATCCTGGTAAGAATAGGTCTTCAGCAACAAAGGTTTGTAGTAAAAAGCAACTATGCTAGCCGTAAGAGGCGGCTAACATGATCAGGTGGTCAGGCCTGCGGACTTGGTTGATGCATGTCATCCCAATTGCGTGGATCCATGCTCATGATATCACTGGAATGTCTGGTCCAGATTCAATTTCTTACAGACCGTCATATAGCTGGAATATTGCTTAATGCGGCGTTAAACAAAAACAAACTAAGACCATATGAGTCGAGTGTCTATTGTGAGATGATATGAACTCCATGTGTTGCGAACATGTTCGTAAAGTGTGGGACTGCCGATGTCGGCATCTGCCCCATATATTGGGCTGTGGGGATTAAAGTCACGCAGGATTATCCATTTTTGCCTATGCTTCAAGGGTAACCCTGTGCTAAACCTCAGCTATGCGTAATTCGTTGCCATGTGCCAGTTTTAAGGAGATCGCTTGTGTTTCCCTGTAGTTGTTTCTATTTCGGTGAGACTTCCGCCAAATACACACACACACACACACACACACACACACACACACACACACACACACACACACACACACATATATATGAGTCAAATTAAAAACTTCACATTTTTAAAAGTAATCCCATATATGATATACAACGGACAAATGTATCAGAGAAGGTAATTTTTAATCATTAATGTCCAAAGAAGGATTTAAATTAACGGTGGTAACCATAATTTGTTCCAAGCGCCTACTGTATTCAATAATAACATCAACAGTTTAAATCATAAGTCCCAAGCACGAGAATCTGATGGCACACAAGTTCAGTAGCGTGTATGGCCACCATGTGCGTTGACAACTGCCACACAACGCCCCCGCATGGACCTTGTGATGCTTGTGAACACATGATTGGGAAGACGACGCCATTGTTGCTGCAAAATGGTGCCAAGATCTTGCAAATTCTGTGGTTGGTTCTGGAGAGTGCGCAGACTTCTGCCAAGAGCACCCCAGACGTGTTCGATGGGATTGAGGTCGGGGGACCTTGACGGCCAGTCCATGACGCTGACTCCCGCATTTTGAAGAAAATTCCTTGTCAAAATTGCTGTGTGGGGTCTGGCATTGTCATGTTGGAAGATCAAACCGGGTCCATGTGCTGCCATAAAAGGCAGAAGTTCTGGTGCCAGTACCTGGTCGCGGCAAGCAGCAGCGTTGAGGTTGCCACGGATGACAAGAAGCCTGGAACGTGCATTGCCACAGAAAGCACCCCACACCATAACACTTCCGCCTCGAAATCTGTCAACTTCCTGTACACAACACTGGGCGTAACGTTCATGACGGCGCCTCCACACCCTCGCCCTACCATCAGCAAATCGAAGATTAAATCGGGATTCATCACTGAAGACGACTTGATTCCAATTCCTCTGTGTCCATCGTAAGTGTCGCTGTGCCCCCAATTGACGTTGACGTCTGTGTAATTGAGTCAGAATCGGCCCGCAGTATGGCCGTCGTGCTTGAAGGTGAGCAGTTCTCAGACGGTTTCGAACAGTTTGCGCACTCAGTCTACCCCTAAACAGTTCATTTCTGGTTGATGTAGCCGTCAAAAATCGGTTACGGAGGTGACGTAAGACAATCTGACGATCCTCTGCATGTGACGTCACACGTGGTCGACCTGGCCGAGGGCGATCAGCGGTGGTACCCGTTTGCTGTAGACGCGTCTGTAAATCATAAACAGTCAGTCGACTACAACCCATCGTCCTTGCGACTTCAGCTACGGACGTTCCCGTCTGCAACATGCCGATGGCACGTTCACGTTGCACATTTGAAAGGCGTGGCATGACAAATGTCCGTAAAGACTTTTGTTTTCTTGTGTTTTTCTTTTTTGTTAATGACTGCTAACAAGTATGGCTGAAAACACGTGCGGTATTATGGCCACGTGACCAGTTGCACGTGAAAAAACACTTTTGCCACTATAGTGCTGTGCACAAGATTTTGATAGATTCACCTGTACAAAAACGGGTGTTATCTGAAGACAATACGTGGTCATTACTGTTTAAATACACAATAAGGGCCCACAATGATAACTGGTCAAAATGTTACAATTTTAGGATTGTGAAGTTTTTAATTTGGTTCAGTATATATTTAGGGGTAGAGATGGACATGGGTGATCTATCTTCCTCGCTTGTTACCAAGCAGAAGTCTTTTTCTGTCTCTTCTGTATTTGGTGTACCCAGTACAAATGATTTTGGCGTTTTCCCTGAGTTTTTATACCCCTGTTTACGAAGTTTTCGGGGGTATATAGCGTTCCGTCCGTCCTTCCGTCCGAGCTTTTGTACGGCCCATATCTTTTTAACCATGCACCCTAGCTTCACCAAACCACAATGAGTACTTGTGCCTTTTGCTAGTTTGAAGATTCTGAATTTTTTAATTTTTGCCGTTTCCATGGACACATTAAGAAACTTAAAATTCTAGGGTGGGTGTTTCACCGGAACTCAATCTTAGCTTTTAAAACATTGAAGTTAAAATCAGTTAGAAATATGTAATATTTCATTAATTAACAAACTATTTACTATTTGTTGTTGACCAGCGGGGATAACGGGGGTATGTGAGCTTTGCTCACTTCTTTCTTGTTTTTTTCCTGTATTAGACTGACATGAGCGCTCGGTGAGGTTTAGGGCACACCCTAGTTTGGAACGGTTTCCTTGTTCCTTTGTATTTCAGTATTTTGGAAGCCAGATTTAGGATGCATGTGGCTTGGGCTTCCCAATAAGTATAGCTGCATAT